TGGGCGAGAATCTCCAACCTAAGAACTGTCCAATTCGATACACTTCTATGAGTTAAATACACGTGTGTAGATTTGAGGGAAGGCCAAAACTAGCATCTTTAAAAAGCCCCGAAAGCATCGTTTGGGATCCCCACACGAAAGACGCAAATGTGCCGCATCGCCAAACGCGCAAGAAAACGCCAGAGAAAAGAAAGTAGACATGGGCAAGAATCTTAAACCTCATAACTGTCCAATTCGTTAGACTTGTATGAGTTAAACACACGTGTGTAGATTTGAAGGAAGGCCAAAACTAGCATCTTTAAAAAGCCAAGTAAGCATATTTTGGGATCCCCACACTAAAAACGCGAGTTTTCCGCATCGCTAAACGCAGGAAAACACGCGGGAGAAAAGAAAATTGACATGGGCGAGAATCTTCAACCCAAGCACTGTCCAATTCGATAGAATTCCGCAAGTGAAATACATGTGTGTAGATTTGGGGGAGGGCCAAAACTAGCATCTTTTGAAAGCCCAGTAAGCATCGTTTGGGATCCCGACACGAAAAGCGCGAGTGTGCCGCATTGATAATGCAAGAACACGCTGGAGAAAATTGACATGGGCGAGAATCTCCGACCCAAGCACATTCCAGATCGATAGATTATTCACAAGTGAAATACACGTGCGTAAATTTGAGAGAGGGCCAAAACTAGCATCTTTAAAAAGTCAAGTAAGGATAGTTTGGGATCCTCACGCCAAAAACGCGAGTGTGCCGCATCGCTAAACGCGCGGAAAATCGCGGGAGAAAAGAAAATTGACATGGGCGAGAATCTTTAACCCAAGCACTTTTTAAATCGATAGGGCCGCAATGTTTTTCCCTCCTATAAGGGTATACGCAGCAGAATTCTACTAAATTATTATTTCTGCGAACAAGGTAAGGGTTCAATATGATTAACACGTAATCCACCAGAAGTTCGAGTAACGAGTGCACAAAAACCTAGTACCAAGATTATTTACATCGTATTGCAAACTTCTGTACGTCTGTTTTAAATATCTTCTCAAGAAACATCATTTCTAGCAACACCAAACTTCGAAAACGAATGTTGAACCTTTTACTAAACACTTGAAAGTACTGGTGAAATGAAACTGATAATGAAATTTTGCCTGTGTTTGCACAAGTTCTCTAAACTTTGAAATTCATTTTCTCTCGTTTCCATGGGAAATTGTTTTCGGTGTTATTTCAGGCAATTATTTATGTATTTACCTTTAAGAAAATGAAAAATGACTGTAAAATACTTAAAATTATTCTGGTACCAGATTTTTGTCCACTAAAACCTGAAATTGCTCGATTTTCTATCGGATTTCCTCTGAAAGCGTCGAAAATAAAGTTAAATGTAAAGTTGAAACTATTGTTTGAAGTTGCCGGCATTACGAACACCCTAGTATTTGTGAAATAGTCTTTGGCAAAAAAAAAAGTGGTTTGTTAAGAGGCGGATTTCTTAACAAATTGGTGATAGAGAAAAATCCGGTTTTGTTCTCATCGGGTAGCATTCATCTTTTAAATTATTCGGAAAATGATCTAAATCTTGACAACAATAACGCCTGTACATCTATCTGTGTATTTAGCTTGGACATGAAAGGGAAGTTCTTTTACCTCTTACAAATTTTATTCGAAATATCAATGATCTTTCGTCTCTCGGCAGTTTTTGCCAAAGCACGAGTAACTGAAAAATATGTTATTTCTTACCGATTATTTTTATTGTTCACTTGTTCAAACTTCTCAGTAAAACGTGCTTGTTCTGCAGGTGAAATTGTAACAGCAAAATTAACCCTTGACATATGCACTGAAAGCAAATGTTGTCAGGCAAACAGCAATTTGAAATACTTTTATGAATGCGAGAGCTTGCCCGCAGGATTTTAAATAATTAGTGGGACATCGATTGACTTACATGTACTTTACTCGATCTCAATAACCTCCCGAATACTCAGAATCAAATTCAAATTCCGAATTCGATCAGAACGGGTTCTGAATCAAACAAATTTTGTAATTGAGTTGCAGTTGCCTCGCCAAATTGAATGTAAATACACATTTGGCTGAATCGCGCTCAAACGTGCAAAGTAGCGTTTTAATTTCATGCATCATTGTTATGTAGTAACTAAGGTCACGTTCTTGTCTTATGATGGAAGTTAAATTATTTTATCGAT